AAGATTATTTTTTTTCCAAAATCCCATTTGATTTGCAAATAATAATTTTAAAAAATCAATGAATTGTTTGGTGGTCCAAGGACATTGGAGGATGTTTGTGCAGGCAAACATGTTTCTTGCTTATACTGACCAAAACAGAAAGGATGAATTGTACACCACATCTCTTGGTTCAGTCGCACTTCCTAACTGGGTTCACTGCCGATTCGATAAGCTTGAAAGAAAACAGCCTAATTAACACAGGGATGAATCCAGACTTCACTCCTGTTGACATGCACATCCTCTGAGCAGAGTCCCACATCAGAGAACACTTTCTCTAGCAGAATAACTTCTGCAGATTCCCTCTCCCTCTGCAGCCCCCAGTGCCACTGCCAACACTCTGCCGGAGTACTGGGGGGTACTCCAGAACAACATGGGAAGTGGTACTGGGAGCTCCAGGTGATGGAGAAATCTGCAAAGTTGGTTCATCCCATCCACCAGCAGGATCCCTCTGCTGAATCAAAACCCTTCCATGGATTGAGTCAGTCTCTCTGTCAACAGAAGTTAAAGACAAATTTGCCTATTCCTAGTATGGATTATTTAGCTAAAATACAGTGTATAGATCAGTGTTTCCCAACCTTGGGCCTCCAGCTGTTTTTGAACTACAATTCCCATCATCCCTGACCACTGGTCTTGCTAGCTAGGGATGATGGGAGTTGTAGTCCAAAAACAGCTGGAGGCCCAAGGTTGGGAAACACTGGTATAGATAATTAATTACACCTGGCCCACCAAGGCTTTAATTGTACTGTAGTAGCTTTTACCTATATGGATGCATGGAAAGCCTGGCATTCCCCAGATGTGTATACAAAGGCACATACTGGCATATTTTTGCTTCCAAAATTCAGACTATTCCTGCAGTAAAGATGGGTAGAAGATCAGAATTTCATCCAGCAATTGAGAGCATGGATTGTTGCCAAAGTAGGTCAGTTTACTTGAACACTAATTGGTCAGAACTTCCCAGGAAGCAAGTGCCCCCCATGTTATTTAGTTGAGAGGTAGAGCTGTTGCCAGTTCTTGTGCATTTGTTCTTGTGCATCTGGGAAACAACCTGCCCAGACAACCCTCCTGAAAAGAGTCTAAGGCTGTGGGAGAGGAATCAATAGGTTTCCAATCCCTCTCCTAAAACAAAGTTTGGTAAGGGAAGAAAAGAATACTATGCTTCAAGGTGTTAAGTGCCATGTTTAGGTAAAAGGAAGAATGTCCTTACTCCCCCCCTAAAAAAATAATAATTCATGGGGTGCCACCATGTTTAGTTAGGGCAATAGGGCAGACCGCCCAATTTCAAAAGCAACTTACACCGCCACATTGGATCTGTGACAGACCGAAGGTTTGAGAGAGAGGTGAATTAGTAAAGGACTGTGTGTAGTAAATGCATATGGGGAATATATCGGCGAAAGAACTGTACTCCAACTTGACAGATCTTTAACACCTATATATAAACCACAATTCCCAAGATTCTGTGGCATTCTAATGTCACATTGAGAACAAAACTCTGGATGGGGACAGGCAAAGGGAAGGAGGGGTAGCTTTAGTTCTCAAAAGACTTTCATTGTATTTTGTGAGACAAACTAAATGGTCTACAGTCTGGAACACCATCAAGAATAGATATGCAACAGCAGGCTTAGCTCTCATGCCACTATTGGGCCCCAAGTAGTTCCCTTTAATTTCTCCTATATAAGTAAATATTGGATGTTCATTGAGAAGGAGGGAAATAAAACATTAAGACTTCTAGCCAGCTTTGCAGTGCAGGCAAAACCTTTCACCCCTGACAATAATACAGTGGTACCCCGCAAGACGAATGCCTCGCAAGACGGAAAACCCGCATGACGAAAGGGTTTTCTGTTTTGGAGGCGCTTCGCAAGACGAATTTCCCTATGGGCTTGCATCGCAAGACGAAAGCCCATAGGGAAATGCTGGCGGTCGGGAGCAAAGACTTTCGCCCACAGCCGGCCTTCAGAAGAGGACCTCTTCTGAAGGCCGGCGGGGGGCAAAAGTCTTTGCTCCCCCCCGCCTGCCTTCCCCCCGCCTGCCCGGGGCGATCTTAAAATGCTGGCGGGCGGGAGCGATGCGTTCGCTGCCGACCCCCAGCATTTTAAAATCTCCAAGGGACAGCAGAGAAGTCTCTGTCCCGGGGAGATTTTAAAATGCTGGGGGTCGGGAGCGAAGCGTTAGCTGCTGACCCCCAGCATTTTAAAATCTCCCCCTGTCCCGGGAAGGTTTTAAAATGCTGGGGGTCGGGAGCGAAGCGCTGCCGACCCCCAGCATTTTAAAATCTCCCCGTGTCCCGGGGAGGTTTTAAAATGCTGGGGGTCGGGAGCGAAGCGCTGCCGACCCCCAGCATTTTAAAATCTCCCCGTGTCCCGGGGAGGTTTTAAAATGCTGGGGGTCGGGAGCGAAGCGCTGCCGACCCCCAGCATTTTAAAATCTCCCCGGGACACGGGAAGGTTTTAAAATGCTGGGGGTCGGCAGCGCTTCGCTCCCGACCCCCAGCATTTTAAAACGCTGTTCCGAAGGGGGGGGGACACCTGCCCCAGCCGCCCCACTTCGGAAAGCTGTTCCGAAGCGGGGAGGGGGGGCGGGGACATCTGCCCCAGCCGCCCCACTTCGGAAAGCTGTTCCGAAGTGGGGCGGGGGGGCGGGGACACCTGCCCCAGCCGCCCCACTTCGGAAAGCTGTTCCGAAGTGGGGCGGGGGGCGGGGACACCTGCCCCAGCCGCCCCACTTCGGAAAGCTGTTCCGAAGCGGGGTGGGGGGCGGGGACATCTGCCCCAGCCGCCCCACTTCGGAAAGCTGTTCCGAAGCGGGGAGGGGGGGCGGGGACATCTGCCCCAGCCGCCCCACTTCGGAAAGCTGTTCCGAAGCGGGGCGGGGGGCGGGAACACCTTCTGAAGGCGGGCAGGGGGCGAAAGTCTTTGACCCCCCTGCCTGCCTTCCCAGGGGCTTTTAAATCGCCCCGGACAGCGGAGAAGTCCTCCGCTGTCCGGGGCGATTTTAAAATGCCGCCCGCCAGCATTTTAAGATCGCCCCGGACAGCGGAGAAGTCCTCCGCTGTCCCAGGGTTTTTTAAAATGCCGGGGGTGGGAAGAAAAGCCCTTGTCCCCCCCCCCAGCCTTCAGAAGAGGTCCGGGGACAGACTGTCCCCGGACCTGGTCTGAAGGCGGTTTCCCTAGGAACGCATTAATTGATTTTCAATGCATTCCTATGGGAAACCGTGCATCGCAAGACGAAAAAACCGCAAGACGAAGAGACTTGCGGAACGAATTAATTTCGTCTTGCGAGGCACCACTGTAACCTAGTGTCTACTGATACAGAATTGTGGGTGACACTGGGTTGCAATATACAGCTGCTGCCTACTTACAAGAGAACACACTATAATGATGAACATTCTGCAAGTAATTCATAATTTGCAAAGTGTCTATTAGGGACAGACAGAAGAAACTGTAGGAAGCTGGGATAAGTAATATTATTGTGCAGAAACATTATGCCTCTATGCAGCCACACTATGGAAAATGTGATACCCGGCAGAGGCAAGTCTTTTTGACCCTATAACATTGTACGACTGACCATGTCTAATCAGGAGTAGGTCCTATTAAATTCAACAGGGCTGACTCTCAGGGAGTAATCTTAGGACTGCAGCCTTAGTTTCTCACAGGAAGCAATTCCCCTCCTCTCACAATGGACTAGTCAATTAAAAGTCCACTTATGATGGCCCATAGAATTTAAAGAGAGTTGTTGAAAATGAAGCCTCTTTTGGTCCACATAGCCTTGCCCTTGGTTGTGTTTGTTGCTGATGGAAAGTGTGTGACAAAGGAGGATCCCAAAAACTTGCACATATGTAATGACTTGAGAACTCAGCAAACTACAAAGCTGAGGTAGTTAAGAGTGCATATTAATAGGAATATGAGATTAGAAGGAAAGTGCTGTAAATGAATCATTGTGAGTGAAATATAGGATGGTGGAAAGGTTGTTTATAAAAAGTACAGGCATCATTAGAAGTACAGGCCTTCTAACCAGCAGCCGCCGAAAACCATAGATCTACTTCTTTGACTGACTTGGGGGAGACCAGACTATGTAGAAAGGCCCTATAACACTGATTTCAAATCAATGCCTAGTGGCAGCATTGTGCTACACGTAAGCCATATGCAAAAGGGATTAACTTTTTATCCAGACATGTACTGTGTTGCTCAAGACTTTTGTCTTGCCCATATAAATTAAAGGCTCTTAGCAATTACAATTACAATATTTCACAGTGTCTGTGGTTAGATTCAGATATTCATTTTTGAGAGAATGTAGCAAACACAAGTTCACACATTATTTTCATATGGTGTTAATTTCTTCTGAACATGCTCCCATGTGGCTGGCCTGAGATTTAGCATACCTCGAATAAAATGAAAACATACTGTATCTAGTAATAATACCTCACTACACTGAAAAGAGCATTCGGAAGAACCACAAGGAAGTGAAAGGTAAAAGACACCTTGTGGTGACATTTCCTCATTTGGTACAATTTATTTTTAAATCTTGCATCCCAGTTCTATATAGGAGCTTCAAAAGAGCTAAGAATAAAAAAGATAAAACAATTCAATTTAATCAATTCATGTAAAAAGTTAACTCAACTACTAAAACTGATACAATAACAGTTTAGATGAATCAAAACCATAATAGCGGAATATGTCATTGGATAGTGCTATGTTGCTAGATAATAAACCTACACATCAGCTAATCATTAAAAGGTGGCCAAAGAAGGGAACTGAAAATGTGGCTGAGAGGTAGTTACTGCATGACAAGAGTACATTTTTACATTCATGAGCTTCTGCTCTGCTACTCAAATACAAAACACAGCTTTATTTGTATATATAAACATATATCAACCCACCCTGGTACTCCACTGAAAGAAAGCATCACAAGGAAACAGAACCATAGATATTTTAAAAAGACACTTTAGAAACCAGCGCTTTCAACCATTCAAGTTTTCACAACAAAATTTATTAGAAGAATAGTGGTTCTGAAAAGTCTAGCATCCAGTGAAAACTACCATACACGTTACAGCTGGGAATGTGTTTTCAAAATGACATGGCCAAAGAATACAACAGGGCTGTTAAACCCTTACACATGCACAACGAGAGAATCAGCGCTTTTGACATACAATGCAAAAAAAAAAAAAAAGTGGACCACGTGAATTAAAAATTTATAAGTACTTATCACATACATTAAGACACAGCTTATTTAGTCCAGTCAAAAAATCAGAACTGCATTAAAAATTAAATGTAGTGCAATCAAACCAAAACCTTAATTTGTGATCATAAGTGCTCTACTACATAAAATGTTGATCATAGCAAGGAACAAAAAAGTTCAAATCACACAGTACAAAAAAAATCTGTAAATAAATACAAACTACAGTACAAGAGAAATATTAAATTATACAATTCCGTCAAACTGTAAACAGTATATTGAAATGAGGTCCATAGATTAAAAAGGGGGTTCCTGCTTTATTTTTCCATGACACTTGTACTTTTAGAGGTCTGTGAAAAATGCCATTTTTCCATACTCTACATAAATAGAACTTTCTAAGGTGTAAAGCATCAAATAATAAAGCAGAGGCATTGCTGACGCACAGTTACGGTGAAATTAATGCTGGTGCGAGCAGCAGGCTTTATTTTAATGTGTTCCACACATGCTCAGCAAACAGACCCACCACTACAGGCGTGAAATGCCAACACACTCACAATTAGTGCGCGGCACAAGAGGTGACACGCCCGACAAGGAGCATAAAGGTAGGCGCGATCATGTGCTCCCACAATCTATGTGCTGCTGCTGATTATTTGAAAGTTTTACACTCTTGCCATAAAACACCAACTTTGGCAGAAGGGTTACTAATAAACTCAAGCCCATCTGGCCCATTGGCTTCCATCACAGTGGCCAGTGCACAGAATTCCTAGAGACATTGCATAACTAGAATGTAGAGGTCAGACACCCAAGGGCCAGGGCTCAAGTTTAGAAGTACCTGGGATGAAGGAGAAACCACAGCCGTACTGAGAAGCTGCCCCTGTTCCATTTACAGGGACAGCCAGGAATGTATTTGACATTAGCTGTGCTGGCTTGGTAGTGGCATTTTTAAATATATACGTTTAAGATTACATATATAATATATATGTATATAACATAATACACATACTATATATAGAAATTTCTTACAATACATAATTATCAGGAACCCCCATGCGATCTTGCTCAGTAGTAATAACTGAATATACAGAATGCCACTACGTGTCTGAGGCACTGCGTGCTGGAGAGTAATATGCAGCTTTAAAATCCGTTTGGCTGAGTTATACCTGGATACCTGAACTGAGTTTAAGTTGACATTCATCAAGGATGTGCTATTAGCACATCAAAAGAAAAGCAAAAACAAAATACAAGTCACTGCTAGGTTTAAGAATAGTGTACAAGTACCTGAATTGAGTGAGGGTAGTGTGTAAACTGTCCCTGAGGGTTTTCAAACAGTGTGTGTACAAGCTGGAATCCTAAGCACGTTAGTTTATAACTTACACTGCGGACTGATAAAATACCAACATTTGACAATTTAACAAGTGGAGGTTAGAAAGAGTTATGAGCAAACACTCAAAACATATTTATACATGTTTAAGCAGCAGTAAGCTGCTGTAAGCAAAAATCCCATGGATATAACCACCCAATGGGACTCTGAGAGGCTGCAGTCTGTAATCGATTTTTCTGATGCTAGGGCATATGACAGCCGCCATCTACCCTCTCTCGACAAGTAAAGAAGTTTCACCTGCTAATGTAGAATGCACCTAGTTACAGACTAGCAATTCAAGATTAGATTTTTAATCAAAGACTTTCCTATTACATACTAAAATCCCTTAAGATCACTAATGCTGGTATGCTAATCTAGTTGGTTTTTTTTTTAATTTCCCCCTTCATTTAAGAAATATACCATTCGACAACTTAAACATTAAGATCCATTTTCAGTCCTCTGATGTAAAAAGCATGTCAGTGAATTTATATTAAAAATTTACATGGTAAAAAGGCTTGAATTTCAGCCAAAGATTCTAAATACTGCTCATTCCCTGAAGACAAAAGGGAGAGAGAATCCCTACCCATTTTCCTAGTGATATACTTTCAAACTGAGCACTACACAATGGTCTAAAACTATTCTTCATTTGGGAAACTTTACCTAGCCTCCCCCATTTAGATCCCAAACCTTAAAGCCCTGAAATGGTCTACTGAAATGTTTAATTAAAATATCATGCGAGTACACCCAGAAGCTGCCTGAACATTATAAAATTCCTGGACTGAAACTTTTACAGTACCTTAGACTCTGAAGACCAGATAAATTAAGACTCTAGTTGTAACAGTAAAAGTGCTGAAAGGTCCCTTTTCTGTCTTTTTTTAAAAAAAACAACAACAGGTCAGACAAGTGCTTTAATGGTCTATCTATCTTTCTATCAAGTCTGTAAAGGTCTGATGAGTGTAGCACCAAATGTGAGGTACATTAGAGGCTGAAGTGGCATGTCCACAATTTTAGAGTGGGAGAGGAAATACTTAAGTCAGATTTTTATAAACTAGCGACCAAAGACGCAATGTATTTATTGTATAAAGAGATGGAACATCTAATCTTCCAAGGATCTTTTTTTAAAAAACTTTGTATTAATAAAAACGGATTGTGCAATCAGGTTAATAATTTGAGAATTTTATAATGAATGTTTTCAGGCCATTACCTAATTGCAGGTAATTTTGCAGGCTTGAAAATATTACTGACTTATACAAACTGACTAAATCAAATCTAGATATCTGTCAGAAAGATGCTGCAGTGGCCAACAACTTGAGTTTATATTTCTCTGGAATTTTGAGTGCATCTGTGGATTATTTTAGGTGCCTACATAGATTCATCCACAAATTTGCAAAAAGTAACATTACAATACTTGTTACATCCAATTAAACTACATCTGCATAATTTTAGACTTCAACAAAAGCTTGCTCACTTGCAAAATTTCAGTTTATGACTAGATATTCTATGGTGTATTTCCAAGGAAGTTGCCAAAGTTCTACATTTGAGAACTCCATAAGGCTAAAGGGCCAAAAGATGCAAATCTCTAAATCCTTCCCTCTCTTCCAAGCCCTAGATCAGGCCCAGACCCTGGTCAGTCTGCAGCTCCTTCCTTCTGCCTATCAGCCCACGATGTCAGAGGCCCAAATATCTACAACTGCTTTTTTCTCTTTGTCTCCTTTGGACCTAATGCGAAGCTGCAAGCTTTTGATGGAAGGAGTGAACAGAAAATCTCTATCTCTAGTACACCAAATTCTCCATCAGTGATTTTCTGTTCACAATCTTGAACTGCCCAGATTTGGCCAACCCTGGTATATATCACGACAATTTAACAAACTGTTCACTTATCAAAAAAACTTGGAAAGCACAGATATAATGACCACATTTGGGCATAATGTTAAACTATGGTTCAGTATTATGCGAATGAGCCTCGCCTCCTGCCGGGCTCATGTATTTCCTCTCCTCATTCCTGCTGCACAGCAGGGAAGAATTTAAAAGCTTTGGTTTGCTTTTAGTTAAGTACGGTGTGCCGCTTCATCCTAACTGGGGATTGTTGTCTAACACTAACTTTGGCTAACGTCACGAAGCCAGGTGCTTAACTCATGGTTTGAAAGTGGCTTATTTTTAAACTAACCAGTCTGTGTTGAACCACAAACCCTAGCTTGAATGAAACATACCACAGTTAGCTAAAACCAAAAGCAAATGTTTCTGAGCTCCTTCTGTAGAAAGTGTGGAGAGAAGGAGAGAACATGCGAATTTAGAAGGAGACTAGACTTGTTTAAATGGTGCTAAATCACAGTGTTTTAAAATTCAACTATGAAAGCCATTAGACACCCATGTGTTATAAAAGCCAACTGCAAAATGTGTAATTTGCAGACAGCAGGGAAGTTAATTTTTTTAATTACATTTCTGAAACTGCGAGGGAGAAAAGCAAAAGATGCCTGATCCACAAAGAATGGACACCCTATAACTTCCTAGAAGCACCTATTTTTTTGCCTGAAAACATATGAAAAAATTATTTTTATGTCAAGTTTATCTTTTCAAGACTGCCCAAGTCCTTCAAGCAGCCTTGGCTAATATGTGAACCATCCCACTATGGGGCTGAAAGCTAGACTTTTAAAAGCTTCTGTTTTAGAGTTCTAGCAAAGTGCTTTTGGATAAGAAAGGGGGATGCTAGGAATGCTTCCCCAACCCACTCAGGTGCCATGCCTTTATCCTCTTTATCACCTCTGAGACACTCAGAGACTTTAGGAAGATTTCATCCTAAATTTATTATACATGGAGGGTGGAATCTGCTTTTCCCTGTCAACACCACAATGAAATTTGACTCCCTTTCCATTTTTTTGGCTTGCTAAGGAGCTTACCATGAGACATCAATAGCATGATGTCAATGAGATCACAAATACAGCCAATGTGTGGAGGTTTTCATGGGGAAAACAATTTTTTTTTTAAAAAAAAATGCATAAATAATTCCTGACAGTTTCTGAGCAATCATGGTGTCATCTGAGATCATAGTTCAAACTGCCTCATCATTTGTCAATATGCTTTGGGATAAGCCACAGGAAACAAAGCAGACCTGAACTACGACCATGTTTATAAGGTACATCTCATTCTTAAAGGATAATGAAAATTTATTCCAGATTTGCATTAGAAAATATTTAAGAAAACATTCAGACTAGGCCTTTCCTTTGGAGGCAGAGCAGCAGGCAGTATGGAGCAGTCCTAGGGCCATACAGAAGCAAGGGCATATTCTTGGGGCATTTGGCTAATGCAAGAAGAGGATCTTCGTGCCCCTGGAGGAGTTATCTTTCAATTCTTTTAATAAACTCAGGAGTTTGGAGATTATATATATATATATCTATATATAAAGTAAGGGCAACAGTCCAAACCCTACAACTTCCATTCTTTATAGCTGTAGTGAAAACAAAAAGGCCTGGGGCACAGAAAATGAGGTTCTAGAATGGCTGACAGAGGTAATAGTGTATCAGATCGCCAGGAAAGAGCTTTTATATTTTACAGATCCAAGTAAAAACTGATACATTTTCTACACACTGGGCTCGCTCCACAGAACTGCACAATAATTAACTCCACACTTGTACCCCTACAACACTAAGCCTTACTCATCTGTATAACCTGCTGTAGCAAAAGGTCACCAAGCAACATCTAAATTCCAGTACAATAGTGAACTTGATTTTAAACGTTACACAAACACACTCTAACATTAGTCTTCTAGGCTGGGAGTAGAGGGAGAACCTATCCTTCATGATACCTGGTCTGTATAAGCAGAGGCTGCCACAAATACTGTTCACAGTTTCATTCTGTCATCCAGGTGCACATGACACCGTCAACAGATACACAATAATTCCACCAAATTTTGGTTCTGGATCTAACACACATGTGATCAAAATGTCCAGTTCTTCCTCCCAAAGACTTCACCATTTCTGGAGCATTGCACTTGGCTTGTCCCCTTAATATGCTCTCAAAAACGACAGGGAAAACAAGGCCTAAGCTAAGCCCTATGTCTTGCGCAAGTTACATGAGCATCCATTTACTGGAAAACAGGAGAAAACAAGGCTTCTCTTACAAAGACAGCAGCGAACCACATCTTTCCACATCAAACTATGGTCAGTTGAGGATTTTGGCCATGCAAACTTCTGTTCAGCAGAAAATTAAGCATGCTAATGGATAAACACTGATTCCATTTTTTCCTAACAGGAAAGATGCTCCCAAATGCTACTCAAAGCTGCACCAAAGGCATCTGTCAGAGCAGTCTTACTTCAGTGAATCACTTAGGATCTAGAGTGAGATACAGTCACAGGATGAGCCACCTGGGCAAAAACAGGTGAGATGAAGTCTTAAACAAAAGTTAAACATTAAAAAGGTGCACCTGAATATTACAGACTAAGTTTACAAAACCTACAATAAGGTAAAATATAGATATATTTATATCTTTTGAATATTCAGCAGCTTTTTGTTTATTTTTGAGAGGCTTCTGAAATTTTAGAAAGGGACAACTAACTAATTTCAACCATGCTTCACAAAACAATAATGGCTATTTTATATTGCAATTACAAAAGTAATGCAATTAGTGCTTTAAAAATAACCTACTTTTTCCTTTTCTTTTTTTTTAAGCAGAGACCTTTTGAGGAAATATGGTTGTTCCAAAGCTTCTGGGATTTTTTTTTTACCTGAATAGGAAGTGATCACAGATATTAAGTGTTATATTTCAAAGCTTTGCAGATAGGAATCTTACAATCGTCAGGTCCCAGGACTTTAATCTGAGAAAATTAAGTGTTTGGTTGTTTAATTCATTTTCTAACCAAAGCAATAAGAATACGCAACTATCACTATCTATTTACAGTTCTCAACCTATGGTCTGAAATGACGTACAAGTAGTTCTCTTTCTAAACTGCAGCATTAAAGGGTAGGCACACCATTTTTCTGCTGCACGATTGTCATCCACTTAATGATACACATAGAAAATATTTAGGTAAGTAAAATGAGCACTCCACATACACTATGACAAGGTTTTACGGAACTCAACTCATACATCACTTAAATAAAAACAGCCACAAAAGGTTAAACCTCTGACAGTAAAACTCTATGCAAGTGTTACACTTCTAGCTTGCAGCAAATCTTCTCCCACACTTTCAATAGCAGATGAAACCACAAATTTAAAACAGTGCATTTTTATTGCAATTTCCAGAAAAACTGGAGTATATTGCAGAGTTTCTACACCACTATGGAGCTTCAAACAGGTTTCTGTACTGAGATGACACCTAGATAGCTAAAGGAACTCTGCTTTTGAGTATGGAAACACATTAAGCTACCAAAACAAAAAGGAAAGTCTAAGAACAGTAGTACAAAGCATATCTGGGCCAAAAGCCCAGTCTCTCTCAAGAATGAGAAGTGCATATTTAACACGACAGCAATGGTGTGCCTAACCTTTGAATACAGTGGGTTACTGGGAAGCAATCAACCAATCAAGAAGGCCAACTCAATTAATTGCCCCCAAATTCAAGCAGCAGCCCTGGGGCTATCTAGGCCTTCTTCCTATGAATCTTAGCATCCACTTTCAGTCATTAACACAGGATAACTAATTAAGAACAGTGCTCAAATGATGTCTCACATACAAATTCCATTGCCTCTTTTGGTTGTGCAAAGCAGTAGAGTGGAGTCTTACCAATCTTTTGCACAGCTAAGATTAAATTGTTTCTCTACCCAAAGAACCATTAAGTCTGATTCAGTGAAGCTGCAAGTCCAGAAAGCTTTATTTAAAGCTTAACATGTAAGAATGTTCAGATGCCTCTGCAACTAACAAGACTGAACTGTGGATTTAGGAGTGCTAGTGGTGATCTGCCTATGCGAGTGTGTGCTAGTCCCCTATTAAAATCAATAGTGGATGAAATAAAAACAGAAATTCAGGATATGCAAGCACATTTCCTGCTACTGGCAACTGTAGTATTTAAAAAGGAAACACCCATTGGGTGTTCAACCCTGACAGTGTTACAACTAGATAAGATGCTCAGCCTAAGTCAGACCAGAGTGATCTGATAATGGGTTTTATTAAAATTTGTAAAAATTTCTTCCCTGAACATTAACATAGATCCTTCATTTACATGACTATTTAGGCAGACTATTGAGGTTGTATGTTTAGAGATCAGTTGGTTTGATGAGGATTTTTGTTTGTTTTTTGCCCAAGATTACAGTAAGCTGTTATATGTATTCCTGACTCCCAGAAGAGAGTTCTTTAAACGAGATGTTGGAAACGCACAGTTTAGCAAACTCAGAATCCAGTCTGTTAAAAAGCACGTAGGTCACAAAAAAGCCATTATTTTGTTAAAGTGAGGAATACCCTAGTATATCATTCAATGTACCCTGATGCTCCTGAATGGAGTGTTGAGATAAGGCTACATCCTCAAGCAGGCAAGCTGAACTCTCTCGCCTTTGCAAAAGAACAAACACAATTACAGTGAAGGTAGTGTTCCAAAGGAATGAACCAAAGCATTCTGAAGGTAGTGTATGTAAAGTTCCCCCATCCCACTCCCACCCGCCCCGCCGGGTGAGCACTAAGCAGATTGCAAATAGTAAAGGAGGAGTTGAATTTAAAACAAAATGGCTCCGATTAGACCCAATTGACTAGGAATCCAATCACTAATCACTGAATTAAAAATGACTAGCCATACTTAAAAAGGTTAAACTCTCTTTCAAGCCAACTGGATCAAAGAAGAAAAAAACTGTGAAAGCCTAATTATAAGCAATTATCCAGTTTTTGTTTCACAAGTCTGGTACTAGAGCTCAAGAAAGTGATTTTTTTTTAAAAGGCCATATGAAGAAAGCAAACCCAATAAAATAACTGAAAGTCCATGCAGGCTCAAGAGGCAAACAGTCCACTTCCATGTCTGCATTCTTTGTGAGGTAACTCAATTCTCTATAGAATATTAGAGAAACATGCAAAAGGCCAAAAAAAAATATATCCCCCAACAACAAAACAAAACAAAAACACAAAAGAGGGCTCTAAGCCATTCCGGGCCAGAAAATTTACAAATATGCAACATTCAGAGCACCCTTTTCCCCCTGTGTCCACACAAGTCTTTGCTGAACTGCAAAGGAGCATGTCCTGCACCCAGTGACTGAAGAGGAGTTGGGTACATACAGCAGGAGTTGAACAATGCCATAGTGCTCACCCAGTTTATAATGTAATTGGCACTCTACAACATCCCTAATCATCCTTTGACTCATTCGCACTCTGTGCTGCCTCTCCCTGGGGATCTATCTCAAGCTTTACAGAGACATCCTGTCCCTCCGACCGCATTAATTTCATTTTTTTCTTTGGAGGGTTTTTCAAAGTGCCCAGCCTCTCTTTCACTTTATATTCCAGGGTGCTATGGGGAATCCCATAAATACTCTGAGCTTTGGAGACGCTCATTTTCCCACTCATCACCACAGAGATCGCTTCTTCCAATATCTCACTGTTGTACTGTCTGTATCTGCCTCTTTTCTTCCGAGGTTGCTTAGAGCCAGGATCTCCCTCTTGATCAGAGGTGGGATATGGCTGTCCAGAGGTAGATTGCTCAGCATCTGAGCCCCAGGAGTCTGGTCCGGGATCCAGCAAGCTCCTTCTGTTTTGTTTCGGAAGGATAGCCCTTAACTTTTTACTAAGCGCGCTCTCCGTTTGTGAACCCATCACCAAAGAGCTATAGCTATACTGGTCGCCAGAACGGGACTCCCATGAAAGGTCCATGCCTCGAACTTGTGGTATCTTTAAATCCACAGGAGTTGAATGGCTCATGTCCTTTTTCCCATCCTGTTTAGTTTGAAGTGCCATTTTTTGAAAGGCTGAATTTTCTGTAAGAAAAGGAAGGTCACTGATGTTGCTGAGTGCACCGTTTCCCCTGAATTTCATTCGGGTGAAGTTGAATTCGTAGTGTGGTTTTGCCCAAGAAGCCTCCCTGGATAGTATCATGTGCTGTCCGTGATTCTGCAGCCCAGTCGGCCCATGGCTGGCAGCTGTAGCATGCTGGTTTCTGCTCAGCAGTTCTTCGCTTATCTGCAGTGATCGAGCCAATGGAACTTTGAGAGATGTGGAGTGGCCAGACCCTTCCCTCGTTCCATCCTGCCAACTTCTCGGGGGCACCCCATCACCACTCCGAAGTCCCTCTGCATGGTGCTGGCTGGGTCTCCCAGGTCGCCTAATTGGATGGAAGGAAACTGATGTGAGCAGGACTTGCACAGGTAGGGAGGAATGGGTGAGGGGGCCACTCCTTTATTAGAAGACCTTGCTTGGGTAACATCACTTTTGTTTTTATTTTTTTAAGTCTCAGCAGTCAGTTTTTTAAAAAATTGTTCAAAAATAAAGAGAAGCTTTTTGGGCAAAGAAAAACGAAACCTGTCAGCTGGTCTTTGGTTGGGTTCACAAAATCTTGGAGCAGAAAAGGCTTCGCGCAAGTGTCTGAAAATAGCATCTTAATTATAGATTAGAAAGGAATAATCATTTGCTAGAGTCTATTCACGACTGTATTACTAGTGTGACGTTACCACTAAACAAGTACAGTAATAAAAGAGTAAGCCAAGTGACAAAATGCAGCAAATTCAACACACATACTCTCACACACCAGCCACCTGCACTTTTTATAAAATGCTGAAAGCTCTGGAGGGCATGGATTAACACTATATATGCTAAAGTTGCTGCTCAGCATCAAGAGCGCTCAGCAGAACTCAAAGGTGTTTGCTTATTTTGCATTAAACATTAGAACAGAAAAACGGAATGGTTCTCAAATAAAAATGTTGCACAAATTCAGACTCCATTTCCTTTTAAAATTAATCATAAGTCACATAAATATCAATTTGATTCTGTTTTTCACATGCCTAGGTAAAGAAGCAGGATATTTTCTTGCCACATATGTATTATTTATTACGCTCTTTCCAACTTTACTGATTAAACAGATCCAGGTTAAATCTATTTTTAAAAAAGAGTATGATATACAGTCTAATCAGACTATCAATCTTGTTTTATGCACACAATTATTTCAATTCCTGTAAATAATATGAACAAAAAGAATGCAATGCATTCTTGGTACTTTGCTCATTAAGATGATTACTGTGTATATCCTATCTAGCAAACAGCCTTTATATATTCACAGACCCCTTTAACCTAGCCATCTGAGATATGTATTTTAGGACCCACCTTACTCTCTTTACTGTAATTTGTATTTCAATATTGTATTTTTACATTTTTGTAACCTGCCCTAGGACCTCATGATGAAGGGCAGGTAAGAAATCTAATCAACAACAACAATAACGACGACAACAACAACAACAACAACGTACAGAAGATTTGGATGCATAGCAAGGCAGAAGGAAGAACTTACATTCAGGTTTGGACTTCCTAATTCTTTAGCAAATGCCTATTAAACATTGCTCAGAATTTGAAGATTCTTAATTTGGTAACGAACAGTCCACATGAATTCTGAACAAGAACCACCCCAGTGTCAAGGAAAATAATAAATTTCTACCAGAACTTTAAACATGCATTGAATATTTCAGCTAGTTCTAAAACAGTGAATCACTGTTCAGATATAAAGATTAACTAGCGCAGGCTTCTTCAAACTCGGCCCTCCAGATGTTTTGAGACTACAATTCCTATCATCCCTGAACACTGGTCCTGCTAGCTAGGGATCATGGGAGTTGTAGGCCAAAAACATCTGGAGGGCAGAGTTTGAGGAAGCCTGAACTAGCACTTTGAAAGACAAAGGGCAATAGTTAACTGGCATTTAACTTAACAGTACAAAGCAGAAACACATGCTGATCTCTTGAAGATGCTTTCAGTCAGCCATGTAGGAACACTTTTTTGTTTTAAATGCACAGAACCTGTTAGAATATTCAGAAAGGGAACAGAAATTGATATTCTCCTTCACAAGACAGTATTTAGAGTTCTGACATACAGGGTTAAGTAATATATCCATGTTGTGAGGAATTTAAATGTCTCTTTTGCAGTTATAAGTCAGTGACTGTCAACAATGGTTATTTTTATATCACTAGAAGTCCAGCAACTTGAAGATTATGTAATTCCACATCTATATTCAGCCGCTTAATATTCTAAAGGCTGATTAGCTTTAAAATTATACAAAAAATGTATTCTATCGCAGCATTTTAAAGTATCACCCCAAATTTCTTTATTCTCATGTATCTTCTCCCTATCAGCACATGCAACAAAAAATACAAAGTTGATGGGATTGTATAACCTTCACCAAGAAAAATTTGCACCCAGAAACTGTCTACTAGTCTAATAATAGTACAGTATTTGGAATGTTTGAATTATTGAGTATTCATCTTGGAAACAGCTCCAAGGTAAGTAATTACAAATCCGTCATATATCTAATGAGCCATTAGAAAACAAATGGAATTATAGCACTGTACTATAATAGTAGGTTATACCAAAAAAAATCCTAACAAATATTTTACAATTCTTGCTCAACCACTATCTTTACTTTAGTGGCCTTGCCTAGACATTCTGACTACTAAAGGAAACACTGTTTGGTTTGCTGATCTATTCAAACTAGGCAGCCATCATCCCATCCTATCAAAGGCTGAGATCGGGTTCAGATACTTATCAAGCCTCATGTGATCACCTGTGGGATGTGCATGGAACTACCAAAGGTTCACAACCCAACAAAGATCATGTGCAGCCACTGGTTGTATGACCCCATACATGAAGCCACTGAAACTGCATTGTGATAAAACTTTTTGACTCGCTACAATCGTGAAAACTGCAGTAGTCATTTGTATAAGCTTCAAGGGGAAATGGTTGTTCATACAACTGGCACCCAACATAACCCCTGCCAAGTTGTTAGCCCCCTCATAGGCCCAATGCTCCCATAGTCAAATGCACAGGTGTGGCTGAGCATGTGAACAAAGTCAAAATAGTCAAATTTTTAAAAGGTTGAAAGATCATAGCTCTACATTTCATATATCAGGTACAAAACCAAAGTATTCCTGAAATGGAATTAATTTTTCAGTTGACTTCATATTTAAGGATTGGAAGAAGGCGTTTTAACAAGATGTAATTATACTCTGAAGGGTTAAATCAACCCTGTCTGTGGAAGCAATAAGGAAGAATTTGACCCTCAGTTTGTTGTTATGCAAATAACTTGAGGGGGGTTTTAGCTTAAAAATACTAATAATTTCCCTTACCCATTCCCAGGAGTAGCGGAGCAGCCAGGTGAATGGCTCAAGGAGGCGCTGCCTGCACATGGACTTTTCTTAGTGGACAGATCAAGTACTCCGTCTGCAGAGACATGAGAATTACTTGAGAATAGGAAGAAATTAATAAAACTAAACACACACAAACATACAACTGGTAAGTTTTTATGGCTGAAATGCTGTCTCAGTTAATCTTGGGTTGCTTTGGAACTTCCTACTGAACCTCAACCAAAGTCTCTTGACATATCAGCCATTATTTGATTTTCTTTATTTTGTTTTGTTAAGGACATATCGATATTATGACTTTCATTCAATAAAATATTAATGGTAGATTAAACAGTATGAACACATTATATCTGAGAGCATAGAATGCAAGTTAATTTCAAAACATAGTTCTCTGCATATACTTCATAATGTCTGAAAAGTGGATCAAGTTACTTCTTTTTGAGCATGTATACTTCTTGTTATCCACCATACATTCATTAAGATGTAGTCTACGTATTGATAGTTTCAAGTAAGACACAAAGGAGAACAGGAAAGAAAAAAACATCTTAACAAGCAGAACCAAAGTTCATGTACCCATAAAAGAAAACTCAACAAGTGTTTAATTCAGGAACTACAAAATGGAGCAAGAGTGGAGAATTTATTGCCTTACAATTCTTATTGCAAACAAACTGCAGCTTTCATATTAAGTATTTTCTGGGTACACTTCATTTTATTTAATATATTTATATTCCATCTTTAAATTTAGCAAAAACAATACAATTTAATGGGATAGCTTACAGGGCACTCTCCAGATGCTGTAGACTACAACTTCTATTATCCCTGACCACTGGCCATGTTGGCTGGGGTAATAAGAGTTGTACCCCACAATATCTGGAGTGCACCACTTTGGCTACCACTATTCTTGCTTTTTAAAAAGTGCTGCAGTCCAGATATTCAGTCCATGAGCTATTCAGTTAGAACAGAGATAACTAGTTCAGCAATGCTAGCCTTGCATGTTCCAAGGCAGTAAAGCAGATGCTAGAAAGTCATGTGACTGGATTTTTTAAAAGTCATGTAATAATATATTTTGCATTTATAAGATAATTGTTAGCCATTAGTGGAAGACTAATTAGTAAGCTTGATGAAATCATTTTTTTCTACACAAAGACTACTTACTGCCTATCTCCCACGAAGCTTAAGTATAAACATTCTTAAAAGCTGCACAATTCTGGAAGGTAACAAGCTACTTGTTATTACTAACAACTTTTAAGAGGTAGCCAGTGGGAAAAAGGAAGGGTAAGTGGTGGCAAGTGTAGTTACCAGACAATTTGCCAACGTGTAAATTTACAGATGCCCGCATCCTACAAGCAGGATAGATTCTCTCTTCTTTTTCTTAATAAGCTGGGTAGATTCTCAATGAATTATTGCTGTGTTTCATATAACACCTAAACTCTCAAGGGATTCAACTCCATTCCCAGCATATGGAGTATACAGCAACTTCTAATGCACACAGGAACTCACATTTTAGCAGCTGCAGCTCAGTGAAACAGTGTCTCCTTTTCTAGCAAACAAGTAACAAGCTATGGTTGTACAGACCACCTTTAAGACTCTTATCCAGAACTTTATTATGAATCTAAATCTTTCTGTTCTCTCCTCCATCAAAACAGTTTTGGAACTGATTCAAGTCTGTTTGTAACTACATTATTAGTACAGTTAAGGAGGTTTGTTAATATTTGCTGTCCATGCATTTATATGCTAAAATGTGGCTCACAGAAATGGAAAAGTTCATAATTATTCAAAGCAATGTTATTTAAAGCAAACCTAAATTTCAAGATCATCTATACTGTTTAACAATAAAGAATATTTAGTTTTTCAACATGTATTTTTGCAATTTAAGGGGCCAGAGTAAGGTCTGAAAAAGGTCTACTTATTAATAGAGAGATGGGGCAGTACTTCGTTACACCTTGTCCAATTAAATACTTCTTTGGTTTTGCGAGAAAACCAACTAGAAGACCCATGTTATACTTCCAAGGTAGAGATTCACAATCCTTTTCACTATCACTTTTCATCTGTGTCTGGTGTAGGTGAAGTTTTACACATATGAAATAACATGCAGAAGTGGAGAATAGCCAGCTATGCATGCTTACAAGGATTTGAGGCTTACAGTAGCTAACGAAATTAAGTGTGACTCAACAACATCAACCTGTGACAAAGATTAATTCTAATTTGCATTACATTAAGACTTAAGTAATAACAGTATTTGCCGGTTAGACATTATTTCTAGTGGGTCAAGTTTTTGGTTCAATATCTTAAGAAAGTGTTTAAAAGCCAGTGGATTCTGTATATATGTGGGAACTCTCTCTGGTAAATTATATGAGGAAATGCTACAGGAATAGGTATATGTAGCCTTGAGACCAGAAAGGCAAGTGGGCAAACAAATTATGTTTTCAAGAAATACCAGAATGGAAAGAATGAATGGTTTTTTCAGCTTTCTATGAAAACAAAGCAGTTACAGGTTTAAAGTGGGAATTTGATGCACACTCCCTTAGGAGAAAGCACAATTGAACACAGTGGGATTTTATTTAGTAAACATGTATCAGATTGCACTGTAGATTACCTAACAGTAATGATTTAGAAAATGGACAAGTTGCTTAAGCTGTATGTGAAAATTTCTTAAGGTTTTTAAGAAAGCTAAAAAGAAAATGCTAGACAATAATATTTTAAAGTGCTTTATTTTCTATCACATATGTATTGACTTTTCAGCAAAGTCCAAGTGGTATACAAAATAATCCAACTTTAGGGCAGACAATTTCTTTCAATAGCTTATGGATTTCTCTCGTCTCTAGAATGCATTAAAATAAACATACATTATAATGCAAGATGAAGGGCAAAATTCTTCAGGTCCATTAAAAGTACTGTGTATATGTTCACTTCCAAGGGAAAAGAACAAAATATTCAACTGCTTCAACCTTGCATTTGCTCTTTCAAAAGCACTTGGTCAACACCAAGGTTTTCTTTTAACATAAGCACCACAATCAGAGCTTGACAAATGCAGTTACCATATCTTAAGATGCTGGCAACCACCTGCTACCTCCAGCATAAGATGAGAAAGGTGGGGCTCATCTCTGATGATGTTCGGGATTTTGGAAGAATGTAAGAGCCTCCTGGATCAGGTCAATGACCCATTAAGTCAAGCACCCTGTTCTCACAGTGGCTAATCTGATGCCTATGGGAAACCTACATCTGGAATCAATGAGAAGTTCCTCTGCTTCCAAGTGTTCCAGAAGGTCAGGAACAAAATTCCATCTTTCTTCTAGAACACCCAAAAAGCGTTGATTTCACCTGACACTGGACGGAGCATCAGTATTTCCAAAGTCTGGTGAGGCAGGTACAGTAATTTAACTAAGGCTGAAACGTGGGGGAAAGGTGAAGTCTATTGTTTGACTTTGCCCTAGACTTCAGAATCACCTGGAACCAGTGAGAAGTGCTAATGCTTCTGGGGCTCAGAATGACACAAGCCACAAGGTCCTGACCCCGCACCAAATCTCCTTTGCATGTCAGAAGAATAGGTGGAGAACAGGGTCAGTGATAACCACAACTAGTTCCTGGCTACCAAGGTCAGTCAAAATCTGTGGATCTTGTTTAAAGCCCTTCACCAGAAGACACACTCTTATGTGTAGGGTAAAGGTAAAGGGACCCCTGACCATTAGGCCCAGTCGTGACCAACTCTGGGGTTGCGGCGCTCATCTCGTTTTATTGGCCAAGGGAGCCGGCGTACAGCTTCCGGGTCATGTGGCCAGCATGACTAAGCCGCTTCTGGCGAACCAGAGCAGCGCACGGAAATGCCGTTTACCTTCCCGTCGGAGCAGTACCCATTATCTACTTGCACTTTGATGTGCTTTTGAACTGCTAGGTTGGCAGGAGCAGGGACCAAGCAACGGGAGCTCACCCTGTCGCAGGGATTCGAAATGCCGACTTTCTGATCGGCAAGTCCTAGGCTCTGTGGTTTAACCCATAGCGCCACCCGCGTCCCAATGTGTAGGATACCACATACTTAAAAGATGTCACACACAAAGAACTAAACACACAAAGAAAGTTACAATTAACATGAAGGACCATATTTTAAGTAAATAAAACAGCCTTTACTAAGCGGCTGCTGTAAGACAATTTGAGTATTCAGCTCCAATTACAGGCATTCTGCTTATGAGCAAATTGCCAAAATACTTGCCAAGTGTGATTACAGGCACAATTCACTACATGGAGGCTGGAAGTACACTATCAAACCCATTAATTCAGCATAAGTAAATTTCCCAGAGAGTAAGTTTCTTTTCTGGCAGACCCAGCATCCATCTGGAATATGCTTAATAAAATGAGGGCACATAGCTGTTAGCACTTTCGCACCATTTTCAGCACAGCTTTTCTCCATTCCCTTATGCACTACTAATCAATCCATGCCTCTCTTCTTTCCGTTCTATGATTTACTTAGTCATTAATGGCCAGCAAATTGCCAATGGTTGCAAGGGGCTATGAACAGAAATGTGGCATACCTTGTTCGCTAGGATCCAACTGAGACTTTCTGACAGTGAGGTCCAAGGGCGAGTCCTGGTCAGCCATGAGAAGTTTGCTGAGCACAGGATTTTGAGCCGTTGCACCCACAGGGGATGAGGCTACCAGAGATGCTTTCAGCAGGCTTTGGTTCTTTGTGCTATTGGGCGAGCTGGAGTCCTGAGTAGAGCTAGTTTTTGAGGTATATTCAGCAGCAAACTGTCGAATCATCCGCTGCATGATCTCACGGGCCACTAGGGGAATGTTGGGGTCAGAGACCCTATGACTGTCTAAATGGTAAAATAAAATAAAATAAATAAGAAGGAAGTTTTATGTAGAACAAATTTTAAAGCAAGACAACTTCCGATACTGAGGGTTGTGTGTTTTTTTTAATTAAAAAAGCTACAATATTTTAACGTGCAAGTGCAAGACAATAAAAAGGCACAGATCTTACATCAGGGGCTCTCTTAATTGCATCTTCAAAATCTGAAGCAACTTACAGAATTGTGCACCCATTCCCTACAGCTCCCTCTCTTAACTGCATTTAAAAGAGCCACTATGTCTGCACCAGCTCCTTAAGATCACAATGCCCAATTTTTAACACAGAGAATTTAAAAATGATATAATACATTCACAAGAATGAAATAATTTCTTCAATGCTGAAATGGGAAGAGGGAGGCAAATTAAGCATGTATTTCTTTGTACAGAGGTTTAAAGAATCACCTCCAGTATAACAGCCCTTTGCCAACATAAGACAGAGACCCTATGTATGTCCCCAGATAGAATTCTAGGTCTACAATAATCTGCCGACCAAAATAAGCTGAGCTAAAGAGAACGAACTAATAAATTATCAATGTGAATCTCATCTTAGTCAAAAGTCTCTAGGTAGAATTAGACACGCCATCTTAAATCCACAATTCCTCTTACCTTCCCCACAACCACATGTATATAATATTTGCCTATTTACTGGTTCTGAGATAATATATGTGCGGTACTTTGAACACAAACTCTGCTGTGTAAATGCTATTATTAGTAACTCCCCAAAATTCTTCTCTTCCCACCAGTCCAGCTGGGCACTACCAGGGCTTTTTTTCAGCTAGAACGCACCAGAACTCAGTTCCAGATGGGTGTGACTGCCATTATAAGAGAAAAAGAGAAGTGCTCATGGCACCTCTTTTTCTAGAAAAAAAAGCACATGGCACCGCTGCATGGAGACAAAATTTAGAGCACAAACTACCCAGAGGGTGGTGAGCCTTTCGGGCCCAGTGGGACAGAACTTTATCTTCCCTCAACTCTGTGAGCCAACTTCTAACAGGTGGGTAGGATTGCCCAAATGTCAATCATCTAACATCACAATAAGACCGGCGGATTGATACATCAACACTGGGCCACAGGAGTCAGAGCACTCAGGAGATAGTTCAAAAGTCTTGTTCTTCCCTGTATGCAGCACTTCACAAATGCCTGAAAACCAGGTAATTGTTGGGCCTCTGGGAAGTGCTTGGGAAGCATGTCGGGTGCAAGATATATTTAAAGGTGTCAACCAGTGTCCTTTTATAGATTATTTGTACAGATAAAAAACCTTGAGATTCTATGGAAATAATACATGGCTATCTCAAAAAAAGTATTTTAAAAAGATCAGTTAGCCAAGCATGCAAGCCAGTTAGAGTATTGATTTCATTCTTTCATCATGACCAACCTTTTCGATAAAAGACTGCATGGATAAATTCTTCCGCTTGCCTCTCGAACCGAATGATTTTCGCTTGCTCTTGTCTAAGCAGAGCTTGGTGCCCAACTTCCAAAGCTGGCTCATCCAGACTGACTAAGTGTTCCTATGAAAAATATTTAACACAAATGTAAAAATATAAACACCTCTTCTTTTTTATGCTGACTTTAAAAAAACTGCTCACTGTAAAGACAGTGATACAATTTGATCTGATACAATTTGGAATATATGTCAGAATTTGTCAGCCATCTCTCACTGCTTAACATTTAGGGCTGCACTTTTATTAAGAAGCAGTTTCCACTAAACTCAGTGGCAGCTACATCTGAGTAAAAATATTCAGGATCTTAATTCATCTTAAATGATGAATACAACTACAAAGTCACAATATTAAATACAAAACAAGAAAGGCAGAACCATCTTTTCATTATTTAATAAAATTTACCATATAAGGAAAAGTACTCAAAATTTTCACTCCAAACTGATCAAACACAGGGATGTTCCAACCAAGGCCATGGGTGTGTGGGTGTGTGTGTGTGTGTGTGTGTGGAGGAATGGCAACCTGCCTGGCTGCTGATTGCAACTCTACATTATGTGAAGGGACATGGGGAAATTGGTTCAAGGAAAATATGTGGGGGGATTATGTTGCCACTGCTGCTTTTACTATTAAGTTCTGCGCCCCAGTCTTGAAAATTTTACCACTTTCTCCTGCCCTCCAAAAAAACTACTTCATTTTTCTCCTCCCACCCACCTGAAAGTCCCTTTCCATCAAAACCTCTACCACATTACTCATAAACTATATTTAGGGAGAGTACATGCAAAGTAGCTAAGGAAACTGATCAACACTGAGGTCAAATCACACGCCCAGTTAGGCATGTAGGTAACCTATCCATTTTCTGTCAAAGTTGAACTTAAATCTCCAGAGTCAAGATTTTATGAAAAAATGACTGTCTGAGAACCCGGTCATCAGCACACAATGAAATTCAGTTTCTTAATGCTCTTACCCCTATTTAAGAAATTGGGAACTTTACATCTGAAATAGACCTCTTTAAAAGAAATCCCACATCAAGCACAGCAGTCTGTAAAATCACTAATACAGGAAACAGTTACAAAGTTCCTACTTTCCATATGCAACCACTAGATAGCACACCTGGCCATGGTTGCCACCTGGCGTTTCCAAGAAGAAACCTGGATTCAAAAGATATTGCCAAGCAGCAAACCAGGTTCTTTAAGAGTGTGATTACATTCAACAGGAATTTCCCCCTGTCTCCATTAAATCCCTGTTGATTAATTCTTATCCAAAATAGTCAGTAGGTATTTATGCAGGATGAGGACATCTGCTGCTGGATCCAAAATAAAGAAAAATTGTAGTTTGATGTTATCCATACGCAACTCTTTCCAATAGTCTAACCATGTCAACCCAGTGACATTATGCAGCTGTTAAACCATACTGGAAAGTGAGTATCTCCAAAAGGTATCACAGAAGTAGTAAAGGTGCAAAAATGATAATCAAGGTCACAGCCTTTAAAATATTGCTTTAACTATGGGAGCACATGTAAGTAGTTCCTAACGTTCTGAATGTTATAGATGGAAATGAAAATAAATGCTCAGTAGAGTCTCTCTTGTACTATAGTGAAGAGAATGACAAGATGGTGTGCTCACCCTAGTTTTGATGTAACAAAATAAGTGGAGGGGGAGAAACACCTCTTTCCATTTGTAGGTTCTCATAAATAATTATTTCACCCCACACAATATATAAAAAACTAAATTTCTATAAGACAAGATGGTTTCTAGTAGATATAAACCTATCAATGAGTATTAGACACAATACTTAAATGTTATGCTCATGTTCAAGGAGCAACATACCCTTCAGAATTAAAGTCTAGAATTGAAACAACAGGAGACACCCATTATCATTCTGTTCTGTTCCTGAGCTTTCTAGTTATTATTCACCACTGTTGGAAACAGAATGCTGAGCACAACTGAATGGACAGATCCATTTTTAGGTTCTTAATCCAAAAAGTCATCAAAACATTGCCCTTCAACACACACACACACACACACACACACACACACAATGGGAACAAAGAAAAAGAAAGGACTTTAAAATATATGATCAGTGCCCGTTAAGAGGTTGGGTATGAGGTAAAGTGTCTAGCATGTCTTAAGAAACACTCTCCCAAGTGCTTCAGGCAACTTATACCTTTAATATCCCACATAAGTCCTTGCCAGAATTATGCAAAATAAGCAGCATGGCTTAAGCTCTTCAACCTATGCATAATTTATAAGGGCTAAATAATTTTATTTTTTTCTTGGCACAATTTAGTTTACCTTGCTGCCTGTTTGATTCAATTTTTGAAACACATGAATTTTAAGACCCTACTTTATTCTGCTTTGTCTGAAAATCCATCCTTTCCTTACAGGTAAAAATACCTTGCATAGAACAAGGTATCTAATGTTAATATATATCTGTAAAGAACTCACGGCACTTTAAAAAAAATACTTTCAGTAACACTGGCTTCATTGAATAGGGTTGCTGCTGTCCACATATGCCAACTGAATATGGTGTTATAGCGGTGAAGGACAAAAATGGATCGAAAAGCAATTGTAAGGAAGGAATAAAGAAGTGAATCAATTACAGTTAGGCAGCAAATGTCTTCAAGGAATGAACCACCCTGTGTGCTGGTGTATAGCACACTGTCAAACATAGGCTAATAACACAAAACACAATATGCTCAGCAGTTCTAAAACATCAACCACCCTCAGACTAAGGCTAGGTAGGGTATTATGTAGCCCCAGCAAACCTTGGTACAAAAAAACAACAGTGAAGGCTATCTCATGTATCCAGATGACAGCAAGGGCTTACACCACTCTTGACCTATAGAACCACAATACGTAGGATCACAAGAAAGAACTTGGCGATGCGAAACTTTAGTGAAAATGTACTGTACACAAACCCAAGGATAACATGGTGCTGATAAAAAAGTGCTACAGAAAACAAAGAAAAATAGAACATTTGTGAGTTCTGACTTTCTGAAGGAATTCTACAGTATTTATTCATGTCATCCTTTCTTCCACAAGGCAATTCAACAGTGCATAGATAGGGTTCCCAAGTGCTTTCCCAATCAGGCACTGGCCAGAACCAATCCTACTTTAGCTTCAGCAAGGCTGTTGCAACATGTGCCCTCAAGCCATGCTAGGATTTGCATTAGGATTCTGGACACAAATGCCAAACAGAAATTTCAACTCTTAAGCTGAAACACAAGATGCAACACGAAGCACCAGCAGTGGTAACCAAGGGAGGGGGAGGGCAGTTTAATACCAAAGTGTATCTTAACACAGTGTTTCCCAACCGGTGTTCCGCGGCACACTAGTGTGCCGCGAGACGTTGCCTGGTGTGCCGCGGGAAAAATTAAAAAATTCGAAAGATATCCGGAGAGGCGGCCTTCAGGCGAGTTTTAATTTTAATTTTCCTTCTCCCACTTAATGCCCCACGCTCGCCCGAGCAGCTTGCAGTCCTCGGTAACCACGGCGACCCGAGGGAGGGGAGGGAACAGGGAAGTCGAGGGCGGCGGCGAGCCGCGATGACGTCAGTGGGCCGCGCCGCCTCGCCCTGGCACGGTGTGAGAGCCCCGGCTAGTGGCGCGAGCTTCGGAATAAGTGGGATCCGCGTGCGCGAGATCGCGGGTAAGGAGCTCAGCCCTGGGCAGGAGGAAGCGGGGCCGCGCGTGCGGGCCACATCCCCACAGAGAGCGAGCCTCCCCCGGCCCACCACTCCGGGCAGGTCCACTCGCATGAGGGGGCGGCGATGGCGACGGCCGGCAGCTTGCCTGCAATGCCATCCCTCGAGCAGGCGAGGAGCCCGGAGGCTACCAGATGCGAGTCCTCTTTCCCACCCTGCTCGGGAGTCCAGAGCACTTGGTCGCATTCAGGATCTAGAGTGGGGAAGCGGGGCTTGTGTCTGGGCTGGACACATTGGGCTGCCTGTGCCGCTCGTCCTGCGGGGAGAAATCAGGGTGGGAGTCATGACCGTGAGGCAGGGCTGCCAAGTGTGGCAGAAGAGGACACGGCCGTCGCACCTGTCCTTAGGTAGGAGCTTCTTCCGTGTCGACCTGCTGCCCTAAAGTCTTGGCTTTTTTCTTGGCTTTTTGGCGGTTGGCACAGAAGGAAGGCAAGGGGGAGGGGAAAAAATTGAAACTTACACTTTCGTGCGTCCCTCCCGGCGTGACGCTGCGCGCTGACGTCACGGGGCTGTAATGGTGGTGTGCCTCGAGATTTTTTTCATGAAACAAGTGTGCCTTTGCCCAAAAAAGGTTGGGAAACACTGTCTTAACATACACCCAAAACAGGGATGGGCCAATGATCATCACCAAGATCAAGAAATGTTTATACCCAGGTAAGCCCCCAAGAGAAGCTACTAAAGGAATGCCAAGCACAAACAACCAAGGCCTTGGATTTCAAGCACTCTGCTCACTAGCAGTGCTTGATCTAACAACTCTATACTATCCTTTCTTGCATAATAAGCACAACCAGAAAATACACGGCAGAATAATCATGACTAAAGTAAACTATGACTGCCTACTGTAAACCACTTAGAAGTCTATTGTTGTAGTAGACTGAAAATAAATGTTAAATAAATAAAAAGTAACTTCAGTGCAATATGCTCCTCTGGAAAGATGCATACAGTCCCTAATATTAAATTTTCCAACATCTAAACCCCACCTCAATGATGGAGAATAAAAGGTGACCACAATGACAAGAGGAGCATGTATGGGTCTTTATAAAATAATCTGAAACCAGAGTATAACACAATAAAATGAATTAAAAATCAAGCAATCAATGTACAATAAAACATACATAGTTCAATAGCTAGGATGCTTCCCTACTTGGTACTACACAAACAGCTAAGATAGCCTGGAGAAGAAGCAATCCTTTGCACACTACTTGAAACCACCAGAAGAACTGAGAGAGCTGAAGCAGTTAATCCATTTACTTGACACTATTGGAGGTGGTTCAAGCGCAGGAACACCTCTCCTGCGCACCACCGCAGACTTCACACATATCATGTGTATGCAACAGTGCCCACGAAGGGATAACTGAGGCACTAAC